CAGTTTGCTGCCTTTTAACACCCAAGAAATATAGTTCAAATGTTATTTCAGTTTTTTAAAATGTCACCAAAGTGGTACCACTGGCGTACGACAGATAGTTTTTGCATGGCACCCAGCGTGGTGCCACCGGACGGCATAGCGTTAACACTTTTCCACAAGAGTCGACAGAAAAGTTCCTTCGCTTGAGCTTAGATTGTAAGAAAAATGACGAAGGGTCCAAATAAATTCAGTCTTGTCGCACTTATAAAACAANATGACGAAGGGTCCAAATAAATTCAGTCTTGTCGCACTTATAAAACAACGCGGATTACGGTAAAAACGATTATTCCAGTCTCGTGGCTCGTCTTTATAGTTGCCGATTGTCAACAATCATAAAAACGAGGTGCGAGGCTCGAATGATCGTATCGTCTCTTCCAAAAATTGTTCATTTTTGTTTACAAGCTGAAGGAAAATTGGGGAGAATTTACTGTGCTACGTGTGCACTAATTGTGGCAAATGACTTCAGAAGTGTATCATAATTTTGGGACACCTTTAGACAACATATGGGCCGTTTATTTTGAAAGTGGCATAAGTCACTTTGTTTTTAAGTCGATATATTTAAGGGTTTATATATAAGGGTTCTATATATAAGGGTTTATATATAAGGGTTATATATATAAGGGTTTATATTTTTTAAATATGGATGCTAACTTTCGAGAAGATTTACTTGTATTTGTTATCTCAGAATACTGATATTCTTCTCAGTATAAATAATTCCGTATAAACATTACAAAATCACCACTTTTCATTACGATAAAGTGACTTATGCCACTTTCAAAATAAACGGCTCATATAAAACCGACGTTTTAGCGAAAATGTCGCAAACAGCCCCGGTCTGGCCCACGCGAAAAAAACTGCAAAATCAGGGGGTTGATTAGAATATCCGCGAATATCAACTTACGTTCGACTTTGGAGGATTTGATAGGCTTCCCATTGAGGAAAGCTCCGCTGCCTTTCCTCGCCGTGAACAGTTGCTTCAACACGGGATTGTAAACAACACCGATTTCCAATTCCTTATTGACCGACAACGCGATCGATACGCACGTGAACGGGAACGAGTGAACGAAGTTCGTGGTGCCGTCGATCGGATCGATAATCCACGTAGGCTCATCCGTCAACTCCGGCAGTGAATTTGTCGACGACACTGTCTCCTCGCCGATAAATCTAGAATTTGCATACGTTCGATCATCCCATCCCTCCGCATCGACACGTTCGCTGGCAAATCACGACCACCAGAAATCCCACAACCACACGAAGTTGTACATATTAGGGGGGCCGGAAAGTTATGTCGTTTGTTTACCTTAAATTCAAACAGATAAATATGCGCAGAAACGACATTACTTTCCGGTCTCCCTAATATTTAGTTTCACGGGAACCGAAACTGAAAAGTCGGCGTTCGTCGAAGCGAGAAACTTTTTTAACACGTTCCGTGCCACGTGTACCATCGATGGTACACGCTTGCATGTTTACTTAGTGAACTGAACAAATTGTTTACAAGAAATTTAGAACCGAAGAATCAATTTCCACCGCAAGAATGGGCGTTGATAAGTTTTTGTTACGTTGTTATGTGTACGAGAATTAATAATTGCACGTAATACATCAAGTTTTAGTAAAATATCAAAGTGTGAAGATTCGAGTAAAAAAAGCTCGGCACGGAACGTGTTAAATCGTCCCGCTTGCAAATCGTTAGAAAATTGAACGTGCCGAAATACGTGCAACCAAGCTTATTTTTTAACCAATTTTTTTGAACCAAACTTATCGGTGAACGTGTTAAGCGCGGCAATGCCCGACCGGTCCTTTGTTAATAACGTTCGCTGGCAAATCACGACCACCAGAAATCCCACAACCACACGAAGTTGTACATATCTAGTTTCACGGGAACCGAAACTGAAAAGTCGACGTTCGTCGAAGCGAGAAACTTTATTAAATCGTCCCGCTTGCAAGTTGTAAGAAAATTGAACGTGCCGAAATACGTGTAAATTCGTTTTTGAACCAAGCTTATCGGTAAACGTGTTAAGCGCGGCAATGCCCGACCGGTCCTTTGTTAATAATGTTCGCTGGCAAATCACGACCACCAGAATCCCACAACCACACGAAGTTGTACATATTTAGTTTCACGGGAACCGAAACTGGACAGGATTCGAACAAATTTTTCGCAATGAGTGCTCCGATTTTAAACAAAAATCTGTCTAAAAACAATTCGGTTAAACTTCGTGGAAAATAAAGATTTCAGAATTACGTGCCGACCATGGTCGGGCGAATTTTCGACAAGAATTACGTGATATGGGAATGTAATTGTCGAAGAAATTCTTCGCGACAAATGCTTCGAGACAAATGTTCATCCGAAAAGCTATTGACATTGTTTCTCTTGAAATGGAAAGTTCCAAATTCGTAAACCGAATATGTCGATATATAAATTCATAACCGAATATCTCGTCGAAGCGAGAACTTTTTTAAATCGTTCCGCTTGCAAGTTGTAAGAAAATTGAACGTGCCGAAATACGTGTAAATTCGTTTTTGAACCAAACTTATCGGTGAACGTGTTAAGCGCGGCAATGCGCGACCGGTCCCTTGTTAATAATTTTTTCTAAACGTTTCTATGAACGAATGCAACAATAACGAACTAAGTATAACATCGATGGGTCTCTGTACTTATGCTTCGGGAACTTCTTGGCGATGCTGTTGATCACAGTCTCCTCCACTTTCTTGTCGTACTGCGTCACCAGGTCCCAGTCTCCGGCTTTGGTCTCGATATTTTTGACGCCTTGGATGGCATCCTCGATTATCTGGAAAACGCGGCCGAAGTTGATGCTCATTAAAAGAAATATTCTTCGCGCTCGATAATTCTATCGCTTGCAGGAGATCGTAGAAAACTATTCGCGGGATTCGCGTTCGACGTGAGTCAGCTAACGCGTGCGGCTCGAAGTGCACGTGTACCCGAGATGAAAGATTCGAATGCGATAGTAAACATTCTGCAGTTCGCGTGTGGGCCAATTAGTGTATCGAGTACTCTAGTCGAGATGATTTACGAGCGAACACAGAGACGATAACATCGGCGGTACTTACATCAGACGAGATAATTGTATCGGAATCGAGAAGTGTGAAACCGCTAATTACGACGGTGTGATCGAATGATTTCTTAATTTGCGACATCTTTCGACTATGAACGAACAAATTCGTCCAAAACGGTATTAATTATCGTGGAAACGTCGAGCAAACGTCGTTGGTTCGAGAGAATCGTCAAAATGATCGGTTCGCTAATTTCCTGATTTACGATTACGGTAAATTTTCTCTCCGAGTCGATACTCGGATTGTACACAAAAACACGATAATCTTCCACGATCTTAATCGCTAGTAAACATAGTGAAAAACGATTACTTTATCTATTCTTTCACTGTGCATTGTAACATGTACATCGGTCTCCTTTCACGATTTTTCTAAGTAACGAACAGTTCTTACGTTTGATATTATTATCGGGCATCGTGAGATGTTTTCACGGTTTTGATCAGCACTAAATCATCACAATTATTACGCGTTATTACACAAAATTGTAACGGAATGCAACGATTCTAATCCCGATTTATTTAATTAACCGGCAAACGAAATAGCAGACGCGCTATCCTCCCTAATTGACGCTCGGATCGTATACAAAAATGGACAATTTGGGAAGAGGAGATGCGATCGTTCGAGCCTCGCGGCTCTCGTTTTCATAGTCGTTGACAATCGGTACAACAACTATAATCAACTATATAATATAAGACAACTATAATTATAAGACAACTATAATCTCTTCCAAAATTGCGCATTGTTGTTTCCAAGCTGGGCGCGTCAATTAGGCAGAATTTGCTGCATACAGCCGACTGTCAACAACTATGAAAACGAGCCGCGAGACTCGAATAATCGTGTCTCCTCTTCCCGAACTGTCCATTTTTTCTATACAATCCGAACGTCGATTAAGGAGAATTCACTGTAATCAGATTGTAAACGTACATTCACGAGTTCTATTTATACAACACGTGTGTTACTTGCGTCACAACGCTCGTTAAAAATCCGAATAAACGTCTTATATCGTCACTGTTGTAAATTAATGTAAAAAACAGTTCCGCTGAATTACCTCTCCCGCCTCGGCGGCCAGCTTCAGACCAAAATCGTAGCAGAGGTCGAGTTCCTCGTTGCTAATCATGTCGAATGTTGTTAGTAGACTAACGGTTGTGTCGCTCTATTGTCTTAACTTGCTGGGCTCTGCTCTTATGCTGCGATTGTCAACCCCCACTAGGAAGTCCGCGTAGTCCGGCATTACCAATGAACTTCCCTGGTGAATTATCAGTTCGCGATTACATGTAACCGCGATGGATCCATCACGTGACCTCCCCGACGAAACTGCGACCGAAAGGGTTCGCGTTTGCACGTCCACGAAAGACTGGGGGGAGGGAGGGGGGATTATGATCGCTGGACCCGGAGGATCTTTGGGCTTAATAAAAGTGTGATTCATCCTCGATCCACGATTACGGAAGACTTCTTCTTCGATCGCTTCGATAAATTGAAGATAACACTGTCCGACACGATTTTCGGGTTCCTAATAGCCACTATGAAATTCTTGTAGAGCTTCACTCCCTGAACAAGAATCCGAAAACCGAATTGCTCCATCGCCCTCAGTTTTTTAAATAAACGAACTTTTGTAAGAACCCAGAATTTTCGACGAAAATGAGGTATTGCATGGAAAGTACAAACGTCAGAAAGTTCTAATTGGTGTGAAAAGATAGAGGAGAGTTTCCTGGATATAGTGGCATGCAATTTATTAATTGTTTTTGGTCCTAAATAGCAATAAATTGATGTCAAAGTTTAAAGAAGTATCGACGTGCGCAGTTTCTCCGCAATATTTTTGTATTTTTACCGAAAGTTTTTTGTTCGGCACGAAAACTCTACCCAGGATCGGATTCTGTAGACATTTCTGAAGAAGAAACGGCCCCGTAAAAGTGTCGGAACGATATACATTTCGAGTAGATCGAGAAAATGTTCGACGGCAACATGTACACGACATTTTCGCTGCTCGCTTCTCTCTGTCTGACAGGGCCGAAGCTATGGGTAATCAACACCGATGGAGGGATCCAATGGGACCCCCACTTTACGTAAATATTATTTGAATTTTTTTTAGTACTTCAATATTCTGGCTTTTTTTTACAGATTTCTGTAGATAATAATCACCAAACTGTGATATATATATTTCACACAAAAAATCACACCAGAGTATTTGAAGTTGGTAACGCGAAAGAGAGAGAGAGAGTATTCTAACACTAGTATAATTTTGACTTCTGCGCAATATATAATTAAATAAATATTTAAATATATATTTAACGATACGTTTCAAGAAGTTTAACGTTTTGAAAATGATGATTTATTCATGATCCTATTATCGTTATAATTTAAATGATAACTGTATACATGGTATACTTGTAATTCGAACAAATTCAGAATAAAATGAATATATTTTGTTCATTATTTTTCTTTTATTATTTCTCCATTTTTAATTTATGATTCACAGTTTGGTGATTATTATCCATAAAAATATGTAAAAGAAGACAGCGCATTGAAGTACTAAAAAAAATGGCACGCCCCACACGCTAAGTGGGTGCCCCATTGGATCCCTCCATCGGTGTTGATTACCCATAGCTTCGGCCCTGTCGGATAGAGAGAAGCGAGAGCAGCGAAGCACATGGCGGCAAAACGTCGTGCACACGTTGCCGTCGAACATTTTCTCGATCTACTCGAAATGTATATGGTTCCGACACTTTTACCGGGCCGTTTCTTCTTCAGAAATGTCTACAGAATCCGATCCTGGGTAGAGTTTTCGTGCTGAACAAAGAACTTTTCGTAAAAATACAAAAATATTGCGGACAAACTGCGCACGTCGACACTTTTTTAAGCTTTGACATCAATTTATTGCTACTCAGGACCAAAAACAATTAATAAATTTCATGCCACTATATTCGGGAAACTCTCCTCTATCCTTTCACCCCGATTAGAACTTTCTAACGTTTGTACTTTCCATGCAATTCCTCATTTTCGTCGAAAATTTTGGGTTCTTACAAAAGTTCGTTTATTTAAAAAACCGAGGGTGATGGAGCAGTTCGGTTTTCGAATTCTTTTTCAAGGAGTGAAGCTCTACAAGAATTTCATAGTACAGTATAGGAACCCAGAAAAAAAGTTTGACTTTGTCGGACAGTGTGATACAACAACGTTCAACGAATCGTTCCGATATTGTTGCGGCTGTAACATCGCGACCACAATTGTGTCGTAAATGCAAAATGTGTCTGCAATCTAACCATTGTCCACGTTGTAATCCAATCTAGACACGCTACATTATCTGGCGAGTAAATATCCTGTTAAAATAGAATGAACTTGAAGTAACGCGATGTTCGTTAATGCTGCTATTTTAGAATGCATACTAATCTGCGATCTGCGCGTCACGATTTCTGACAATAATGACCGTAACGCGATACCTCAACGTATCTTTAATTGTAATTTCCAACTTCGTCCGACGCTCTTAACGTGTCGCAATCGGCGAACGATAAAATAATTCGTGTTTACCATCGAATCGATGTAACACGACGAAATTGTTAGTTGCATGTAACTTCTGTTAGGAGATAAAATCGCGATATCTCAACGTGTCTTTAATTGTGATTTCCAACTTCGTCCGATGCTCTTAACGTGTCGCAATCGGCGAACGATAAAATAATTCGTGTTTACCATCGAACCGATGTAACACGACGAAGGAAGTGTTAGTTGCATGTAACTTCTGTTAGGAGATAAAATCGGTCGGGTTCGTAATGCGAAACCCATGACGTCTATGCGACGTCATTAGAAACGATCGTAGATGAGTGCAAAGCACCGATGAGGAGAAGACGGATCTCCGATCGAAGCGGATGAAAATGATTTAAGCATCTGAATAATAAGGTACGAGAGCGAGGTCTCTCGGATGCTATCAGTTAATCTCGGCAGGAACTATGAATACGAAGACTATGAATAATCTGATCTCTGTTCCGCGGGAGACTGAATGAAGCCGGCCCGAAGCAACACCTCCATTGAACGGAGAACGTTTTCACACTTTTACCACGCACGCCTGCGGTCCCAGTCACACCTGGCCCACGTGCTAGCCAGATGATCGGTTTTATCTGCACGACCGAAGTAATACAGCACGACGGCGCGTTGGTGCGTTTAATGAAAAGTGTAGTACTGGGCATTATCGGTGCACGACGCAGAGACCTTCCCCAGGCGAGAGCCAGTTCTTGGAACGAGCGAGAGCGAGAGAACGAGATTGGGAAGCGGCGAGAGCGAGAGAACTAGATTGGGAAGCGACGAGAGCGAGAGAACTAGATTGGGAAGCGGCGAGAGCGAGGAAACTAGATTTGGAAGCGGCGAGAGCGAGAGAACGAGATTGGGAAGCGGCGAGAGCGAGAGAACGAGATTGGGAAGCGGCGAGAGCGAGAGAACGAGATTGGGAAGCGGCGAGAGCGAGAGAACTAGATTGGGAAGCGGCGAGAGCGAGAAGACCTTCTCTATTCCTTGCTCGCTCTTGCCGTTTCCGAATCTCGTTCCCTTGCTCTCGCGCGTTCCAGTAACTGGCTCCCGCCTGGAAGGCCTGGCTGCCGCACGTCACAACGCGTACGATCATGCGTCACAAAGAATTTTCTTGGACCGAGTCACAATTGGATAATTGCGGTATTTTCAAACACGACGACCGCGTTCTGACGCGATCATCGTTTTCTATGGAAAAGAGATGGAACACCGATACGATCCGTCATTGTTTATCGGGTTTCACAATTTTACCGCGGCGTAGATTAATGGCAATAAATCGAGCCGTCCTCGTTTGCGCGATCCTCATCCTGATCGTGATAAAACGTTTTCTTTTTTTTTCTGTGCGGTTCGATAACGATCCATAAAACGGAATTTTTCGAAGGCATTTTTCATCGGTGGTCTTCCGTCGTGGATTACTTTAATATTGTTTTACGAACGGATTAGCTTGTTCTAATGGGAATCGTGGGTATTATTGCGAGCAATTTAGAAACAAAGTTGGATGTCAGGGTGTTGAGAATTGTGTTGAGAGTTATGGAACAGTAAATGAGCCGTTTATTTTGAAAGTGGCTTAAGTCACTTTACCGTAATGAAAAGTGGTGATTTTTTAATGTTTATACGAAATTATTTATACTGAGAAAAATATCAGTATCCTGAGATAACAAATACAAGTAAATCTCTCTCTTCTCGAAAGTTAGCATCCATATTTAAAAACTATAAACCCTTATATATATAACCCTTATATATAAACCCTTAAATATATCGACTTAAAAACAAAGTGACTTATGCCACTTTCAAAATAAACGGCCCATATGTTGTCTATAGGTGTCCCAAAATTATGATACACTTCTGAAGTCATTTGCCACAATTAGTGCACACGTAGCACAGTAAATTCTCCCCAATTTTGCTTCAGCTTGTAAACAAAAATGAACAATTTTTGGAAGAGACGATACGATCATTCGAGCCTCGCACCTCGTTTTTATGATTGTTGACAATCGGCAACTATAAAGATGAGCCACGAGACTGAAATAATCGTTTTTACCGTAAGCTGCGTTGTTTTATAAGTGCGACAAGACTGAATTTATTTGGACCCTTCGTCATTTTTCTTACAATCTAAGCTCAAGCGAAGGAACTTTTCTGCCGACTCTTGTGGAAGAGTGCTATGCCGTCTGGTGGCACCACGCTGGTGCCATGCAAAAACTATCTATTGTACGCCGGTGGTACCACTTTGGTGCCATTTTAAAAAACTGAAATAACATTTGAACTATATTTCTTGGGTGTTAAAAGGCAGCAAACTGGCTATAGCATCGTGCTTATTTAACTAAGAATTAAGTACGAAAATTCTTGGTTGACTTATCTTAATTTTAGGTATTTATATTACCGCCATCTGCGAAATTTTTGTTAAAATCTAAAATTTCCAAGCTATTATGCCGGCGTCAAACAAAAGAATCATATCTAAGATCTGCGGACGGCATAGTGTTAATAATTTCAACAATTTGGAGACNTTGGGAAGCGGCGAGAGCGAGAAGACCTTCTCTATTCCTTGCTCGCTCTTGCCGTTTCCGAATCTCGTTCCCTTGCTCTCGCGCGTTCCAGTAACTGGCTCCCGCCTGGAAGGCCTGGCTGCCGCACGTCACAACGCGTACGATCATGCGTCACAAAGAATTTTCTTGGACCGAGTCACAATTGGATAATTGCGGTATTTTCAAACACGACGACCGCGTTCTGACGCGATCATCGTTTTCTATGGAAAAGAGATGGAACACCGATACGATCCGTCATTGTTTATCGGGTTTCACAATTTTACCGCGGCGTAGATTAATGGCAATAAATCGAGCCGTCCTCGTTTGCGCGATCCTCATCCTGATCGTGATAAAACGTTTTCTTTTTTTTTCTGTGCGGTTCGATAACGATCCATAAAACGGAATTTTTCGAAGGCATTTTTCATCGGTGGTCTTCCGTCGTGGATTACTTTAATATTGTTTTACGAACGGATTAGCTTGTTCTAATGGGAATCGTGGGTATTATTGCGAGCAATTTAGAAACAAAGTTGGATGTCAGGGTGTTGAGAATTGTGTTGAGAGTTATGGAACAGTAAATGAGCCGTTTATTTTGAAAGTGGCTTAAGTCACTTTACCGTAATGAAAAGTGGTGATTTTTTAATGTTTATACGAAATTATTTATACTGAGAAAAATATCAGTATCCTGAGATAACAAATACAAGTAAATCTCTCTCTTCTCGAAAGTTAGCATCCATATTTAAAAACTATAAACCCTTATATATATAACCCTTATATATAAACCCTTAAATATATCGACTTAAAAACAAAGTGACTTATGCCACTTTCAAAATAAACGGCCCATATGTTGTCTATAGGTGTCCCAAAATTATGATACACTTCTGAAGTCATTTGCCACAATTAGTGCACACGTAGCACAGTAAATTCTCCCCAATTTTGCTTCAGCTTGTAAACAAAAATGAACAATTTTTGGAAGAGACGATACGATCATTCGAGCCTCGCACCTCGTTTTTATGATTGTTGACAATCGGCAACTATAAAGATGAGCCACGAGACTGAAATAATCGTTTTTACCGTAAGCTGCGTTGTTTTATAAGTGCGACAAGACTGAATTTATTTGGACCCTTCGTCATTTTTCTTACAATCTAAGCTCAAGCGAAGGAACTTTTCTGCCGACTCTTGTGGAAGAGTGCTATGCCGTCTGGTGGCACCACGCTGGTGCCATGCAAAAACTATCTATTGTACGCCGGTGGTACCACTTTGGTGCCATTTTAAAAAACTGAAATAACATTTGAACTATATTTCTTGGGTGTTAAAAGGCAGCAAACTGGCTATAGCATCGTGCTTATTTAACTAAGAATTAAGTACGAAAATTCTTGGTTGACTTATCTTAATTTTAGGTATTTATATTACCGCCATCTGCGAAATTTTTGTTAAAATCTAAAATTTCCAAGCTATTATGCCGGCGTCAAACAAAAGAATCATATCTAAGATCTGCGGACGGCATAGTGTTAATAATTTCAACAATTTGGAGACACTTTCAAAATAAACGGCTCAAATATAGCACTGTACAGTGCAGATTTCATTGTAATTATCTAAATGCAATATGCTTTTAGCGAAACAATGTACTTGTTGTATTTCTATCCTATTATATCTTAGATGATTTTCAAGTGAGTTTGCAACGATTTTTTATATAATTTGAATTTAAAATGCAGCGCTGAGAGATATATGGCTATATAAAGTTCGGAAATAGTAGTATTAAATAGTATTAAATTAATATTTAAAAAATTGTATTAATTAGTATCAAAAGAATTCATTATTTTTTTTAAGTTATAATACTGTTATACTTTCTACAACAAATAAAATAACTCCACGGCATCTTTTTTTTTGTGTACAGAACCAAGGAGGACCTGGCGGTCCGACAAGTCAGAATGCCAGCACCCAGCAAGGTCCAGGAGGTCCCATGGTGCCAGGTCAGATGGGGCCTAATGGACCCCAAGGCGCGTCTCACATGATGCAGTCAGGTCCGAACCAGATGGGATCCAGTGGACCTGGACAGATGAGTGGAGGAGGGCCGGGCCAAATGGGACCAGGAGTTCCGAGCCAAATGGGGCCCGGTGGGCCCAATCAGATGGGACCGGGCGGTCCGGGTCCTATTGGACCTAGTCACATGTCGCAAGGAAGTGGAGGTCCGGGAGGACCTGGAGGTCCTCACATGAGTCAAGGACCGGGCCAGATGGGTCCTGGCAGTGGTCCTGGTGGAATGGGTCCTGGAGGACCACCCAATACGCAGATGGTTCCAGGAGGAGCAGGACACATGAGTGGCCCCCCTGGGCCCGGTCACATGAGTTCTGCATCCGGTCCTCCTGGGGCTGGTCACATGAGTTCAAGCGGTCCCCCAGGACCAGGTCATATGAACACGAACGGTCCCCCTGGGTCAGGACACGTTAATACCAGTGGACCCCCAGGGTCGGGACACATGAGCTCCGGAGGACCTCCAGGATCGACTCACATGAATACCAGTGGACCTCCTGGGCCAGGAAGTCATTTAAATAGCGGGCCGCCTATTCCTAGTCACATGAACGCGAGTGGGCCTCCAGGAGCTGCGCACATGAGTTCCAGTGGACCAGGTAGTCACATGGGACCCGGTGGTCCGGGTCAGATGCCACCCAGCGGGCCCAATACACATAACATGCCACCAGGTGGCCCAAATCAAATGGGTCCTGGCGGTCCGAATCAGATGGTACCCAGCAGTCAATCCCCAATGGGTCCTTCTTCCATGGGACCTGTAGGACCTACAGGGCAAATGGGGCACAATGGTCCCACGCAGATGGGCCCTAACGGACCGGGGCAAATGAATATGGGAGCCACGACGACACAACTGGGTATGGGGCCAGGAGGTCCTGGAAATCAAATGGGACCTGGAGGACTTGGAGGGCAGATAGGGCCAGGTAATGGTCCTGGAGGACAATTGGGGCCGAACGGGCTTGGGCAAATGGGAGGTGGGAGCGGACCCGGAGGACAAATGCCTCCTGGAAACGGGCCTGGAGGACCTATGGGTCCTGGAAGTGGGCCTGGCGGGCAGATGGGATCCAGTAGTGGACCCACGAGTCAAATGGGCGTGGGAAACGGTCCTGGAGGACAGATCGGATCGGGAGGAGGTAGTGGAAGCCAAGTGGGGCCAGGAAATCCTCCAGGGAATCAAATGCCTCCTGGAAGTGGACCAGGCGGACAAATGGGTCCGGGAAGTGGGCCTGGAAACCAGATGGGTGGTCCGGGAAGTGGTCCTAGTGGACAAATGGGCCCGGGGAGCGGTCCGGCTGGACAAATGGGACCGGGAAATCTGCCTGGAAGTCAGATGGGTCCGGGGAGTCTACCTGGAAGTCAGATGGGTCCGGGAAATCTATCTGGAAGCGGTCCTAGTGCACAAATGGGACCTGGTGGACAGATGGGGCCTAGCGCACAAATGGGACCCAGTTGTCCTGGAGGACAAATGGGGCCTGGCGGACCAGGAAGCCAAATGACACCCGGAGGTCCTGGAGGAAATCAGATGGGACCTGGAGGCGGACCTGGTAATCAAATAGGTCCCAATGGACCATCCAATCAGTTGAGTCATGGTGCTTCGGGCAATCAGTTGGGTCCAAACGGAGTAAGTGGACAACCGTCCTCTGGTCAAATGGGACCTAGCTCGCAAAGTCAGCCAATGGGGCCTACTGGATCGACACCGATGGGACCTGGCACACCTGTGAATCAGATGAGCCAAACTGGGCCTGGTCCAACAGTACCTTCCGGCCCTAGTGGTCCACCAGGACCTTGTCAAATTGGTCCTTCCGGAGGTCCTCCTGGACCCGGGCAAGAAAATTTGAACGCATTGCAAAAAGCCATCGATTCGATGGAGGAAAGAGGACTTCAAGAAGATCCACGATACTCCCAGCTGCTCGCTTTGAAGGCTCGACAAGGTAGCATTGGCGAAAAGCAAGCTTTCAGCTCGCAACAGTTGCAGCAGCTACGGTACGTCGTAGCAGAGAAAGTATTAATGAATTTATAACTATTTCGGAATACTGATATTTCATAGAGAACTGTTTGCAGAGTACAGATAATGGCGTACCGATTATTGGCAAGGAACCAACCGTTAACTCCTCAACTAACACTCGCCCTTCAAGGTTAGCTTGCTTTTAATTTGTTGGTTTAATTGTTAACGTAGAAAATTCTCGCTTTTGTCTGCAGTAGATAATTGGGCAGTCTCAATGTAATTATCTGAATGTTCAGCTATGACAATACAAAAACAGGGTGGAATGATCTATGCTGAGAGTTTGATCTAACATTGTTATAAATAGGTGGAGCCCCTCCTCCTCCTCCAGGTATGGTGCAACGACCTCCTATAGACCCAACTCAAGCAACCGCCCCTACTACAGGACCACAAATTCCTGGGCCAAATGTAATTGGCCCTGCGGTACCTCCAAGACCTGGTTGTCAAACCCCGCAACAACAACAACCACCTCCTCAGACTGGCGCTAAAACCAATAGAGTAACAAGCGTTGCCAAACCAGCTGGATTGGACCCGTTACTGATATTACAGGAACGCGAGAACAGGTATTTTAATTTATCAGATAGCCCTACACCTCTTAATACAGTAAAGACTAAGTTGCACATTTTGAACTTGAACAGAGTGGCGGCTCGAATAGCACTACGCATGGAACAGCTAAGCAATTTACCCACCAACATGCCAGAAGACCTCCGCATTCAAGCTCAAATTGAACTTCGAATGCTCAGAGTGTTGAATTTCCAAAGACAGTTACGATCAGAGGTAACTATCTAACATTTTGAATAGCGTCTTCTATAGATCCTAATCACATTATCTTCAGATTCTAGCCTGTACGAGAAAGGACACTACCTTAGAGACTGCAGTGAATGTAAAGGCCTACAAACGTACGAAGAAACAGAGTCTCCGAGAAGCTAGGGCCACGGAGAAGCTAGAGAAACAACAGAAATTGGAAGCTGAACGCAAACGCAGACAGAAACATCAGGTAATTTTATTTAATAGTTTTGTCCACTTGAATAATAGTAACAAGTGATCCTTCTTTTTTTTGTTTAAAGGAATTCCTCAGTTCCGTGCTTCAGCATGGCAAGGACTTCAAAGAGTTCCATAGAAATAATTTGGCCAGGTTGGGCAGGCTGAACAAGGCTGTACTAAATTATCATGCGAACGCCGAACGTGAACAGAAAAAGGAGCAAGAACGTATCGAGAAGGAACGTATGAGACGTCTTATGGCGGAAGACGAAGAGGGATATAGAAAACTGATCGATCAGAAGAAAGACAAGCGATTGGCCTTCCTGCTGTCTCAGACCGACGAGTATATCAGTAATTTAACTGAGATGGTGAAGCAGCACAAGATCGAGCAGAAGAGGAAGCAGGTGGAGGAACAGAAGCGTAAAAAGGTAACTGAAAATTGCGCAAATAAGATCTTGACGAGATAATGTGCCTGGATCAGTCACTCTTTTAATTATTCATGCTATTTTCATCTAGCAAAAGAAGAAGAAGTTGCAAGATGGCGAGGGAGGCGAAGATGGTAGCAACAACGAAGACTCTCGCGTGGGTGTGATAGAGACATCTACAGGCCGTACATTAACAGGAGAAGAAGCGCCATTGATGAGTCATCTTCAAGCGTTCTTAGAATCTCACCCTGGTTGGGAACCGATCGAGTCGGAAAGCGAAGACGACGACGACGACGATGATGATGAAAATGGCGACGGCGAAGATAAATCGGACCATAAAGAAAAGGCCGCAGGTGATTCCGAAGAAGATAAAGTTAAGAAAACAATTCATAAAGCCAAAGTGGAGGACGATGAATATAAAACCGAGGAACAGACCTATTACAGTATTGCTCACACTGTTCATGAAGTAGTAACCGAGCAGGCCTCCATTATGGTGAATGGAAAGTTGAAAGAGTATCAGATTAAAGGCCTCGAGTGGCTGGTATCGTTATTCAATAATAATCTCAATGGTATCCTTGCTGATGAGATGGGTCTCGGCAAGACTATCCAGACGATAGCTTTAGTAACCTACTTGATGGAAAAGAAGAAGGTCAACGGACCGTTCCTTATCATCGTTCCGCTATCCACTTTATCGAATTGGGTTCTTGAGTTTGAAAAATGGGCTCCCAGCGTCGTGGTGGTGTCGTATAAGGGTTCACCAGCTGGCAGAAGAGCTATTCAGTCCCAGATGAGAGCCACGAAGTTCAACGTCTTACTCACTACTTACGAATACGTTATCAAGGACAAGGGAGTCTTGGCAAAACTGCAGTGGAAGTACATGATCATCGACGAGGGTCACAGAATGAAGAATCACCACTGTAAGCTGACGCAAGTCTTGAATACACATTATTTAGCGCCTCATCGACTCCTCCTGACAGGAACACCGTTGCAAAACAAACTGCCAGAATTGTGGGCGTTGCTGAATTTCTTGCTACCTTCCATCTTCAAGTCCTGCAGCACTTTCGAACAATGGTTTAACGCTCCTTTCGCCACCACCGGTGAAAAAGTCGAACTGAACGAAGAAGAAACGATCCTCATCATCCGTCGTTTGCACAAAGTGTTGCGGCCCTTCTTGCTGAGACGTCTGAAGAAGGAAGTCGAGTCCCAGCTTCCAGACAAGGTCGAGTATATTATCAAGTGCGACATGTCTGGACTTCAGAAGGTGCTGTACAAACACATGCAGAGCAAGGGTGTGCTATTGACCGATGGTTCGGAGAAGGGCAAGCAGGGCAAGGGTGGTGCCAAGGCTTTAATGAACACCATCGTACAACTGAGAAAACTGTGCAATCATCCGTTCATGTTCCAAGCGATCGAGGAGAAATACTGCGAACACGTAGGCACCCAGGGCTCCGGAGTAATCACCGGACCGGATTTGTACCGAGCGTCGGGCAAGTTTGAATTGCTCGACCGTATCCTTCCTAAGCTGAAAGCCACCAACCACAGAGTGCTGCTGTTCTGTCAAATGACCCAGTTAATGACAATCATGGAGGACTACCTGAACTGGCGGGGATTCATGTACCTGCGACTGGACGGAACAACGAAGGCCGAAGACAGAGGCGATTTATTGAAGAAATTCAACGACCCCGGTTCCGAATACTTCCTATTCCTGCTATCTACCCGCGCCGGTGGCTTAGGATTGAACCTCCAGGCCGCCGACACCGTTATCATCTTCGACTCCGACTGGAATCCTCATCAGGACCTTCAGGCTCAAGACAGAGCTCATAGGATCGGCCAAAAAAACGAAGTCCGTGTGCTTCGGCTGATGACAGTGAACTCCGTCGAAGAGAGAATCTTGGCCGCGGCCAGATACAAGCTGAACATGGACGAGAAGGTCATCCAGGCAGGTATGTTTGACCAAAAGTCCACCGGGTCCGAGCGGCAGCAGTTCTTGCAGAGTATTCTGCATCAGGACGATGCCGAAGACGAAGAAGAGAACGAGGTGCCGGACGATGAGACGGTGAATCAGATGATCGCTCGTACAGAGGGCGAGTTCGAGATATTCCAGAAGTTGGACTTGGAACGGAGGAGAGAAGAAGCGAAGTTCGGGCACAGTAGGAAGGCTCGGTTGTTGGAGGAGAAAGAGTTGCCAGACTGGTTGGTGAAAGACGATGATGAGGTCGAGAGATGGACCTATGAAGAGGACGAGCCTGGTTTCCTTGGTCGGGGATCCAGGCAGAGGAAGGAGGTCGATTATTCTGACAGTTTGACGGAGAAGGAATGGTTGAAGGCAATCGACGACGATGGCGCGGACTACGAGGAAGAAGAAGAGGATGATAAGAAGAAGAAAAAGACTCGGAAGAGAAAGAAAAAGAGCGAGGAAGACGACGAGCCTATGCCAAAGAAACGAAGGGGGGCCGGGACCTCCATCGACCCGAAGATCAAACGAGCAATGAAAAGGCTGATCATGACGGTAATTAATTACACGGACAGCACAGATGGCAGGTTACTCAGCGAGCCATTTATGAAGCTACCTTCCAGAAGAGAATTGCCAGACTACTACGAGATCATTAAGAAACCACTGACCATCAATAAATTACTGCAAAAGATCGAAGAGGGAAAGGTAAGCTTGAGATTCGCGACGGCGTAAGATTGTTCGTATGAAAATTAATCTTTGTTCACAGTACAACGACTTCGACGACCTCGAGAAGGACTTCATGCAGCTCTGCAAGAATGCGCAGATCTATAACGAGGAGGCCTCTTTGATACACGAAGATTCTATCGTACTGCAGTCAGTTTTTACTAATGCTCGACAACGGATCGAAGAGGAGGGTAATACTTCCGACATTGACGATAAAGGTGACTTGCGTTGCCACTGCAATTTGTTCAGAGTATATCAGCAATTTGCAGTTGTTTTCATTTGAAAGTCACATATTTTGTTCTAAATAGTATCATGTACTTCAATTCAATGTTACGAAGTTATGTACGATGTTATTTGGAAAAACATTTACGACCTTCTTCGCATTATTTGAAAATGTTCGTAATGTCGTAAGTATGTAACGCGAATCGCTTTTGTTTCAAGGTGACGGTGAAGATGGATCGGACGCCGACTCCAGCGTGCGAATGAAGATAAAATTAAAAGGGAGGAAGGGCGAGGGTCGCGGAGGGCGCAGAAAAAGAGTCACAAAGAAGTATATTTCCGACGACGACGACGACGCCGACGATAACTAAGAGACTCGTATGTGATTTGATAGGGATACAAGGAGAGAATAGGTAAGGCACCTTTAATCAGCTATCTCGAAGTCTAACTATTATCCGATGTGCACAATTGTTATGATATAGTTGAGCTATATGAAATTCCGCGGGAACGTTGCACTATGAATTATAGTATGGAAATACTATTGTCGGTCAAGTTGTATGTCGGCGTGGTCCTCTGACAACAGCGAACTATCTTCGGAGTCGTACGTTGAATACCAAGTTCTGTAGATTTGATACGAATTGTAATAGGGCGACGGATCGCATCACTTCGTTTCCTCTATTTTCTCTTTCTCGTCTATTCTTTTCTTTTATTTGACGCAAGTGTACGTGCAGAACTTGTACGGCGTGTACAGTAAGATGTAGCGTTAACGATTATATGAGAAATGAACACATTACGTAATTTTATTTTAATTTTTAATTAGCGGGCACGCACCGCGACAAACGTAGCTGTGGTATATTAATGATTCGAGCGAACTTCCTTTCATTCAGATCGCGTTTTTAGTTCGAGCGTTCGAGGGTGATTAACGAGGACAATAATTTCGGTGAGAGCAACTCTCTCTCTTCGATCGATCATATTTTTTAATTATCTTAAAGCTTATATTACATTCACGACAAAATGATTTCTATAATTCGATCCGCCTCGTTACTCGCTTTCGCCCCTGCTAACAATTTTAATTGATGAAGAATCAGAGAGACGTGCACGTGAGAAACGTTGATTATTCAGATTAGGGATTTGCATCGATCGTGTTCTCCGTGAGTTTCGAGTATCGTTCGGATGGTTCCTTCGCGTGTATAGGATCCTCTATATCGGCCGGGGGACTCGTCTCTTTTTCGTAACATTTTCGTCCAACATTGTTCAGTAACGCGCAGCAGAAAAGTCACGTGAGATCCGATTATTTCATTTACACTGTATTGTAACTTGATCTTATATATATATATATATACGTATAAGTGAATAAATCTGAAAAACCTTGATCTGTGTACCACATTCTTATTATTCTAAGCGTTACTTAAGCAAACGAATACTGGTAAGCGAAGCATGGCCTGTTACTCTTCGTACTTCTGCTACTCGGAATTTAACTGTCTATGTTTGCCTATCACACAGATATAACTCCACGTATTTTTATTTTAGACCACTACTGTTTGACGTTTCTATCTAGATACAAATATCGAGCGATTTCAGTCAATGCCCTCTTCTTCTTTAAGTATTATAAATTCAGTGGCAGTCACGGAGAGGGCGTTTTTCCTTCTTTTAGTCTTAAGAAGATATTTTTTCAGTGCATTTCTATTTTTTTAGAAAATAGTCGTAATTACGTTTAACGATATTTTATAGTCCACGCAACTCTGTACAATTTTATTGCTATTAAAAATATTATTATTATTATTATTATTATTATTAATTCTCAATTCACTGCATTCTTCTAATTTTTACTTTCCTTCACTTCGTTGTTTGTCGATAGCAAATATTTCTCGATTCTTGCGAACACTCGCGCGAACGTGACAACGGAAATATCTAAACAGAGCAGCGCGTCCTTGAAGAAGTGCACCAGATAATGCGAATTCAATTCCATCCAGGCAGCGAGCGTTACATCCCGGTGTGCACGTAATTAACGAAACACTCTTCAATCTTCGTCACATTCATTAGCAGATAGCAGCCCGCGTATATTACACGCGCGCGTTACGCAGACGGTGAATAGATATGCAAATGAAATCTTATCAGAGATGCATCCAAATGTCATCTGTATCAATGCCATCCTGTTAGCGTAATATTTGTCTCCGGGATGTACGGGGTGTTGGAGAAAGATACAAACTGTTCCGATTTTGCATCATTTTCAAACAATGTGGTGCTACAGTTTTAAAGCTATTTCCACCAACGGAACAAAAAGACGCGTCTTGCACAATCTTAATTCGTCGCTGTCTTCGCTAAAGTGGTCTAAAAACAGTTTTTAAAAAAAATTTCAATTTAAAATTATTTTTCAAGATTTACCTCGTTCGACGTTTCAACTTTTCTTATAACGATTCTTAGAGCGTGGATTTTTATTGAAAATAAGAATTGTCCAAGTTGACAAGTCGGATAAAAATGTGTTTCGATATTTTCGAATTCTTCTAACGTCATCGCCGTTTTGCTTTTACGAAAAAATGCATAAAATCCGCGGTCTACTGGTCATTGAATTAATTTGGTAAAAAAACAAGCGTGCACAAGATATCGATAGAAACAGTTTTGACACGAAGATTCGTTTCGAAGATTCGTTTCGAAGATTCGTTTTCGTTACAACTCTCCGAAAACGATGTTCCAGATTTTCTAGCAATTCTGCGTCAGCGTCGGTTCGTTATCAAAAGACTTCTTGAGCAGCAGCGAATCGTCTGATCGTTCGCGGTTGCCTCGGCCCTCTCTTCTTTAGATTATTGTGAAGATGAAAAGCAGAATGAATCGCTTTCGATTCCACGGTGCAGCGAACAAGTTTGAACGGTTCGGTGTGCTCGAGATCTCCGTCGAAACTTACTCCGTTTCCTGGGTTTACACGGCGAAAATGAAGGAAGAAGGTGAGGAAATTACGTGTCAGCCTCGCGTCAAAGATTCCGCTCATGTGAACCCGTTGCGAGGATCCTTAGTGTTTCCACGAAACCCGTCGTGTACTCCGGTATTTCACGCCATAGTTCCCCCTTTTTTGGATTTCATCGTGCTTCAGAAAACCGCAGGATGATTTCTATGACTTTTGAATCTCGGAAGGTTCGAATGAAAAAGAAAAGAAAACAATTACAGTAAAATCGGACAACAATGACAGAATGTATCTTTTATGATTATTTTTCGAATGAAAACTATTACTATAAAACTATTACTATATTCGAATGAAAAAGAAAAGAAAGCAATTACAATAAAATCGAACAACAATGGCAGAATGTATCTTTTATGATTGTTTTTCGAATGAAAACTATTACTATAAAACTATTACTATATTCGAATGAAAAAGAAAAGAAAGCAATTACAATAAAATCGAACAACAATGGCAGAATGTATCTTTTATGATTGTTTTTCGAATGAAAACTATTACTATAAAACTATTACTATATTCGAATGAAAAAGAAAAGAAAGCAATTACAATAAAATCGAACAACAATGGCAGAATGTATCTTTTATGATTATTTTTCGAATGAAAACTATTACTATTCGAATAGAAAAAGAAAAGAAAATAATTACAGTAAAATCGAACAATGACAGAATGTATCTTTTATGATTATTTTTCGAATGAAAACTATTACTATAAAACTATTACTATTAGAATAGAAAAAGAAAAGAAAACAATTACAGTAAAATCGAACAACAATGGCAGAATGTATCTTTTATGATTAATTTTCGAATGAAAACTATTACTATAAAACTATTACTATTCGAATAGAAAAAGAAAAGAAAACAATTACAATAAAATCGAACAACAATGACAGAACGTATCTTTTATGGAATATATAACTTCCATTGACATTTCGACGTTCCGGGACAGCTTTCGATAAATTGTTTAATAAATTGAAAATGATTTTTTAACCCCATCTAGCAACTGTCGAACATCCATTAACTGTTGGTAACAAGTTTAGTACAGCCGGAAATTTGAACGGAGTTTCGCAGCTGTTCATTCGATTAAAAATATAATTGAAACTTCATCGGCCGAAAAACTTGGTCCACCGAATTTTCTGAATTGTTTACAAACTAATATGTACTTGCTGCAAGCGTTCAATAAGGACGTCTTCCGCGAATGATTCATTCCCAGCTGCCTCTCAGGTATTAGCAGCGTCGCAGGTATGGGATCTGCTTATCGGATTATTTTATCCTCCGCGCAAATCCTCCTCGATCAGTATTACGTCGTAAACAAGATTTTTTCCCAGCAGCACCAGTTTCTCGCATTTAAAATAGTTGATTTATAGACGATGCATTTACAACCCCGATAAAAACGATGTAACTGGCTAGCATAAGCGTGTATCTTGGAGCTTAATTTATAATCTAATTATCCGATACTCCTTCCAGCTCGACCCGAGCTGTCTGCGGTTTAAACAAAAGGACGAGTCGTTCAAATGGACGCAGCTAAAACCGGAAGGGGCTGGATCCGAAAGATCCTTTGATCGCGGGAAAAAAAAGAAAGAATCGACGCGTACCTGCTACACGCGTGGCAGCTTAATTACCGTCCACGGTCGAGTGTGAAATTGTCAATTACTATGGGTGGCATGCCCTCTTTGCATCGGTTTTCCAATTAATCCGGGAGAGCAGGCCACCCGAACGACTAATCGTCTCGCCCTCCCTTTTCTTTGAACGATCGTAGAATTTTTGAACCACCATCGCCGCCGCCGTTCCGTACATCCTTGTTTTCCGTCGAGCATCGATTATATCTCCCATATAGCCCCCAGTGGTTTTGCTGAACAATCGATCGCAAACAACCGGACAATCGTAAATTGTGCTCGTTACTTAAGTAATGAGCAAAACTTCGGCTCGGTGACCCGCTGCCGCAGACGTTGGCGAGTACGAGCACTTACGCAAATTACGACCAATATGTTTAAAAAGGACGATGGGACAAGGTGCGGTTTGCAAAAGGTACGGTTAATCTAAAACCATCCGCGTTAATTTTATCGCTTTTCGTATGTTTCCGTTGCGGACACGAGAGCCGATTACATATTACATCGAGAACATTTGTCGCTCTGTACGAAGGAAGTTGTTATTTGTATTATTTTGTAGACGTCGATTCCATTGAAACGGAATGCAGGATTATTAGAATTATCTTATATTATTATCTATTATTATTATTATCTATTATTATTATTATCTATTATTATTATTATCTACTATTATTATTATCTATTATTGTCTATTATTATTATTATGTACTATTATTATTATCTATTATTAGAATTTAGAATAAAGGATCGACGGATATTACGGTATGCAAATTTTCTACAAAGCATATATGAGCCGTTTATTTTGAAAGTGGCATAAGTCACTTTGTTTTTAAGTCGATATATTTAAGGGTTTGCGTTTTAACACGTTTCAAAATATGGATGCTAACTTTCGAGAAGATTTACTTGTATTTCTTATCTCAGGATACTGATATTTTTCTCAGTATAAATAATTCCGTATAAACATTAAAAAATCACCACTTTCCATTACGGTAAAGTGACTTATGCCACTTTCAAAATAAACGACTCGTATGTTGTTCTATAAAATTTCGGAGAGGTGTACAAATAACGTAAAAACTGATAATTAGGAACTTCATAGAAAGGAACATAAAGCAAGAAGCAGGATTGTTATTTATTAAAAATATTAAAATTATATAATATAATATTATTAAATTAAAAATTATTATTATAATTAAATTAAAATGAAATTATTATTATAATATTAAAGGAACAACATATTTCGAAATTTCCTGGAACTTCAAAAGTCATACAAATGCGAATTGTCGAAGACTTTCGATAAAAAAAAAACATTCTGCAAGGTCGTCAGAATTCTTCCCAAAGATCTTTGAGATAGCATTTCGAGAAACCTTGGAAACACAATGGCCTCGCAATATCAGGAACACTCAGAATGCGAAGGGCTATTTCGGTGGCCTTGGAATACGAAGTATTAAAAATGCGAAATGATTGGCACGAGATCTATTGTCGTCGATTCTAACGGTCGGTTAAGAAAATACAAGATTAAGGACGCGGAACAAAGGAGCATTGTTGATCCAGGAGAAGGGGTCACGATATGGTGTCGTGTCGGGTGCCCTGACCCGGCGCGGAAACTGTGGACTTATATAACCGTTTCCGGCCTGTACGAAACATAAAAACTTTCCTAATATAAACTTCGTCTATCAACGTCGTGGCTTCGGATGGATTTCATTCGCGATGCGATACGAGATACGTAAACCGGCCCCCTGTGTGTCGTTATAAAATGAAATAAAGCCGGCCATTGTCATCGGGACAATCTTTCGAACTTCTTACGGCAGAGCGACAGCATACGGGCCACCCGTTATGCTTATAATTAACCCTTTGCACTCGAGTCTGAGGCGCCACTAAGAATTGTTACATCATTTTTCATTCAATAATTGTAACAGTATCAGATTTGTTGTATTTAAAACACTGTTAAAATTGCAATTATTGCAGTTGCCAATAGGCACAAATTTCAGATGCATAAACTGCACCGAATCATGTGAAATAAAAATACTGCAGATCAGAAAGCATCTTTTGGATGTCGAATTAAAATAGCTCCGACTGCAAAGGGTTAACGAGAAGAACTTCGAGCATTAACCCTTTGCGGTCGAAGCTATTGGAATTCGAAATCCAAAACATGATTTCTGATCTACGGTAGTTCTATGTTATATAATTTATTGCGACTTACGCACATGAAATTGAGCCTGTTGACAAGTACAATGCAATTTTAATAGTTCCTTTTCAAGTAGAAACGAGTTCGATGCTCTTAGAATGATTTTGAAAAATGGTACACCAATTTTTAGTGGCGCCTCAGAGTCGCCATTCGAGTGCAAAGGGTTAAAATCCCGATGACCCGGTGCCGCTCGAACAAGAAAAGAAAAAACGAACTGGCGGTTCTGCATCAAAATATAAATTATAAACGCGCGAAGATCTACGCTAATTTGCCAACCATTACGAGTTCGTGTGTCGCAAGTGGCTCTTAGGTAACGGTGCAACGCGCCAATTACATGGAAACTTTACTTTCTGAAGCGCTTATGAGTCACAACTCGGATAACGATCTGAATTAGTCCAAGTAAATTAGTCCACCTTTGTTTACGCGAAGCGAAAGTCCCGTCGCCGTTGAGCAATTACGTTTTGAGTTTATACAGAAGCGTAAATTGTGGGGCAAAACAACATCGGGCGCAGAATCATCGGTGTCGTTCTTCCCTCTAGAAGACATGTGCGCGCGTAGCATGATTAATCGTCTCGAAGTTGCACGTAAGCTTGTTTGCAAACCAGCCCTTTTTTTCTGACGCCGATGATTAATCGTTCCCGACGGTTATTTATCGGCGCGACGGTCCCCATTCGGAGTCACTACTTTAGGCTATACTCATTACGAGGATCCGGTGTTTGATCTAGATACCATCGATTATCCTCTATTCGATTATCCTCGCGGATACCGGACTCCTTTACGAGCAAGATAATACCGTGGCTATGTGTGTATATATATGTATATATATATTATATATATGTCCATTTGAGGAACACGAATCTATTAATCCGGCATCGATTAGCACGCTCCCGTCGTTACGGTGTTTCGGGTTACGGATCTATCCCGCTTGATACCGCGTTAAATACTGATTATAACCGTAAGATTCGCCCGTGCCGGGCAGCCGCGAGAACCGCCCGCCAGTTCGTATTTCCATCATGATCGCAACAATGTGTAATGAAGAATGGTATCGCGTTAACGATTTATGCTTTCAATGTACAGCTTTATAAAAATGCAAATATACAGGGTGACCCAAAAATGTCTCGTAATCCGAAAGTAGGGGATTCCTGAGGTGATTTGAAGCAACTTTTTCCTTAGCGAAAATGCAATCCGCGGCTTCGTTTACGAGTTATTCACGAAAAACAATGACTAATCAGAGGAGAGATCGTTTGGCGCGAGACGGCCGAGCCAGTGAGGGGAACTGGGCTCCGTGCACTCGTTGGCTGGACCGCCGCGCGCCAGCCGAGCTAGCCTCTTATTGGTCAGTGTTTTTTCGTTAATAACTCGTGAACGAAGCTTCGGAGAAAATTTTCGCAAAGGAAGAAGTTGCTTCAAATGACCTCAGGAACCTTCCATTTCCGGATTGCGAGACACTTCCGGGACACTCTGTATATTTCGGCAGGCTAAAATCAATCCGCCAACTCACATCTCGATATCCAGCGTACGGATATCTTTGCGCAACACGAACATTTTCTGCATTAATTAGCAGCAACGCTTCGATGGAATTTTGTTTCCGATCGTAATATTTTATTTCGCTGTGTAAATAAACTGACAATGTGTTCGACAAATATTTTTGTACCGTTTAGAACTTAAAATAATATTTATATATATATATATATTATATAATAATAATAGATAATAATATTTATAAATATTATTATAAAGTTAAAACTGTATACCGTACGTATTCGTGCCGACTGAAATAAATTCAATTGCAATTAATTTTAGTATTAATTAGTATAATATTTATTAGTATATTAGTATTATTTAGCATATAAGGGAAGGGAACGGTTCGGGGGGAATAAGACCATAGTAATGTACGTTACTAAAAATTTATTCCATCACATATAAAACTAAAGCTTTACCCGTCGCACGATACAATGTTTAAAAAATCATCCGCTTGAGCAATGTTCGAATCGGCCAACAACGAAACCGGACGTTCTCCCCCGAAAACTATTTCGTTCTCGTGCACCGTACACGTCGCGTGTCCGTCGAGGTTTTCCCATTGCCGCGCCGCTGCCGATCGTATCCTCTCGACGCTCCGTACTAAACATTATTGTTACCAGAAACGATAATCCGTTAATTAATAGTTGACGGTGTCGCGGCGACGTCGCGGAAACTCCGCGGACCCTTCGCGAAGTTTCAAACTGAAAGCGTTCCGAAACTCGGGAACTTCTTCGAAGCTCCGTGAAAATAAGATCACTGGTTATAATTAGTTTGGCTAATAGTCGAATCTTGCGACACCCGTCCAATTATCCCTCGTGAGATCTGAAACAAAGCGAATTAGTCGTCAGCGCCGGCTCGCTAAAAATCTCCAAGTACTTCGCGTCGCTTCTGTGCGACGTTCTCCGAACGGACGGAAGGGACGAAGCACGGTCATTTGGTCGGAATCTTCGTGAATACGACGCTTTTCAAGTCTCCGAGCCACATTAAAACGTTTCTATTCAGCCGGGGGGATGCAAAGAGCGCGTTGAAACTGTGATACGCGCGAGAAACGCGCTGCATCGGATGATGCATGTAATGCGTAACTGTTGCCATTAATTACCGGAGCGCGGGTTGCGTGCAATTAACGCAAAAGTTAACGCGGCCGGTTCGAAACAGTGGAGAACGATTAATAGAATCCGCTAATGTTGTTAATTCGTTTGAATCGTCGAAGAAAAATCTATTTCTGTTTCGCTCTGGTTTCATGAAATTCATATTTTTATTTTGTGCAAGGATCCACTGTCTTCGAAGCTCGGACGCTTTCTTTTAAACGCGATCCTTCTTGCGAAACATTCGACGCGGAAACCTTCGATAGCATCGAACACGACGTCTTCTATCTTATGGAATTTCTCGAAGTAATTATTGCAATTTCTTTCGAGCGTAACACTTTGTTTCACCATGCAAGCTGAATCGGCTTGAATGCTCGATCACGAAAAGCAAATGTAAAAAGTACTTCACGGTGCAGTCGGAGAAGATTTTGGTAAGTTAATAATTCTCTACAATTAGGGGAGTATTTATCCTAAATTTAGTAAATATATTTATTATATATTTTTATATATAAATTATATTATTATTATATATATAATAATTATTAATAATTATATATATATATATATACATATAATAATTATATTATAATCTATTAATTATTATATTAATAATTATATATATAATATTATTATATTAATAATTATATATATATAATATTATTATATATATTATTATTATACATAATATATTATTTTTTAAATATATTAAATATATTTAGTAAATATCGTAAGCTCTCAAGGTAGGGACAACAATCGCGCAGTGTAACTATACTTCTGAAATTCAGGCGATCAAACAATTTATTTATCCAACAGTGCAGTTCGAAAATCCTCGTCCGCGAATGATCGACGGAGTAAGTCTTGAAAACTGAATCTCGCGAATCGTAATTAAAGATACGCCGACTCCAACGGCGCAAGAATTCATCCTCGAATCACGGGCAACCGATAACGTCCCGCATTTCCGAGGAACGCGGCGCACTCGGTGCAATTATGCAATATACTGGATCTCACTTTCCACGAACATTCCTAATCGTCGATCGAACTTGCATGTCGCATAAGGAAATACACGGACGGTTAATTAATTTTCGGTAATGCTTCGCCGGTTACATACACGGTGTTTCTGTCGCCGCGGATCGATCGATCGCGGATCGATCGATCGCGGATCTACGTCGCGGGATCGGATTTCGCGATCCTCGCGGATAAATTTCTATCGATGGCCGGGCGTTTCATTAAATTTATGGCGCTAATATCGCGGTAACTAATTGCGCCTTAGGGCAACGGATTTACGGCACTCGCGCGACGTCGAAACTCATGTATTTTACGAACCAGCAACGCCGTCCCGTGTACTAGAAATTACATCACGACGGCACATGCTCTGCGTAGAGAGCACCTGCCAGGGCTTTCCCTTGCTTTTGCTTCTGCTTCTGCTTCTGCTTCTGCCGGAGTCCTTCCTCTTCTCCGAGAAAGAGAGAGAAAGGGTGAGTGAGAGAGAGATAGAGAGAGAGTTTTCGACAAAAGTGCACGGAAACGTCGTTATCCACGACCATTATCGTCCCTACTTCGCGCCTCAACTACACTTCCATCTGTCTCTATCTCCCTCAAACGTTGCTTTTTCCCTTCGGTTTGTTTGCCTTTTCTCGCGACTTCTTTTTTTGTCTTGCCCCCCGATGGAAAGTCACGACTACGTTCGATCCGACTTAGCAGTACTTCCGGGATCGAAGTATCAAGCGGATTGTTTTCGAACAATTCCCGTGGGAACCAGTCACTTTTAATATTTGCCGCGACGGCAAGCTCCGCGAGCTTTCCGCCGTATCGGATTTTTAGTCTCTAAACTGTTCAGAAATTCGCGTACCGTTTTCAAGCGGTTCGAAGGTATTTTGCGAAGCCTTTACTTCAAGGTTCATCGAATGTTTTAGTAGCATCGTGATAGTTAATTGTACTAAATATTTGATTTGTGTCCTTATTTCTCGTCGGGGCAAGCGTCTTAATAAAATCTGAACTTTCCAAGCGAGCAAATATTAATTTGTACTGGTATATTGTATATATACAATATATATTAATATATTTTAATATATATATGCGCCATATTTAATTTTAATATATATATATATATATATATATATATAGTATTATATTAAAATTATTATATTTATAATTATATATATATTATATATAATATATATATAAAATATGTACCATATATATATGGTATTTATATTATATTAAAATTAAATATGGCGCATATATATATTAAAATATAAAAATATATGGTATTGGTATTATATTAAAATTATTATATTTATAATTATATATATATATTTTATATATAATTTTATACATATATATAAAAATCCTACACATCTTGTTAAACGATTATTTTTATTATATATATATATATATATATATATACATATATATATATATATATATATTGTATTGTATATATATAAAATTGG